GAACGGAGTAGCCTAGTCAAAGTTTCGTAACGGCACAAAAGCTATACGCAGAACCCATCTTTGAAAGAAAACGTGAGATTCGGACAAATAAAGGAGCGACACCACGATACAGAATCTCCTTTATTTGTACCAATCTCAGGTTTTCTTTCAGAGATGTTTCCTAAACAGCTGACCTGCGTACTTTCACTTTTTGTAAAGGACGTAGACTTCCATGCTGGAGATCGAGGGCATCTCCGCAACGCAGTAGCTACGGCTGCCAATCGCCGCACACTTTGTGTGGTCGTTTAGAATTTTTCTTTTTTTTTATGTTTATAAATAAAGTAGCTTTATCACTCGCCGTGCTTCCTCTGTCCGTAGATTACAGCAATTGGATCTTCCAAGTGCTTTGCGGGAGAGCCAACGCTCCAGCTGTTTAGAGTGCCACCAACCATTCTTCCTGTAATAACTCAGCCCTCTCACGTCGCCGCTCGCCGCACTCTCCCATCTTCTGCTCTCCTTCAGTTTATTTGCGCATTCAGTCGGGGTTTCAAGAAGCTGTGATAGCAAACCCGTCGGTACGGCGCTTCGAGCGACGTAGATGTACACATCGCGACACTGTTAGCGCGAACACGATATCGGCACATTTTCGGATTGTACTTGTAAATAGTATTAGCTAGCACGAAATTTAATCGCTTACATTATAGAACTAAATAAGCTCTTTCCGAAGCAATAATAACTTGGATCACATCCCTTGGTTTCAAAAAGATAACTCGGAAAAACCGGCGATCGCTTGTTCGCGCTAACATTGTCGCGCTCTGTACATTATTAACTAGTGCACCAATAAATGAACGCGAGCATTCTTGGCGGTCCCGCCGTGTTCTCAACTTACTGGGCACAATTCCTGCGTTGTTGATGAGCACGTCCAGCCTGGGTTCCGTCCTGACGATGTCGGCGGCGAACTCCCGGACGGACTTGAGAGAGGCCAGGTCCAGGTGCTTGACGATCACGGGTTGCCGCGTCTCCTCGAAGATCTCCTGCGCCGCCTTCTTGGCCTTGTCCAGGTTCCGGCACGCCATGATCACCCGCGCCTTTCTTCGTGCCAGTTCCTTGGCGGTCTCCTTGCCGATTCCTGGAGAAGTGCGCGACGCTGTGCGTTAAACCTGGTTCACCCATATGTGTTTGCTTGCGACCGAGTTCTTGTAATCTCTTACGACCAGAGATTATAATATAATCTCTGGTCGTAAGAGATTATATTATAAGCTGCGGCTCTCCGCGTGTTAAAGTATGGCTCGCCGCTCCCTCCCTTATCCCTCCTCTCCCCCCCCCCCTCCTTCCTCGCTTCCAGATCACTTCCCCTAAAAGAGAAATGAAACGCGTTTTAAATCGAAAGACAGGTTGCAATTTGGTAGTGGTGTGCTACTGTTGCCTTATGCAGAATCGGACTGCTTTTGCCTCAGATAGACCGAAATTATATCAAGTTTCGTTTATTGCTCTAAACAAAAATCCGCCCCTCCCCCCCCCCCCCCCCCCCCCCGCCCCACGCGGCTCTTGAAAAGTTTGTGATTTTGTTTGCGGCTCTTAGGCCGGGTCAGCCTGGCCACCGCTGGATTATATTATTACAAACAAAATTTGTGTTTTTCTTTGCAACAAAAAAGTATGCATCGCCGAATGCTAAATTTCTGCTCAGAAGCAGGATGGCGAATAAAATGTCAATAGGATCTAAATGAGACCACGTTTGCTGTGATGATTTAAATCAAACCATTACCGCAAAAATCATCCCGAAAATATTTTTTGTGGGCCACTTGTTTCTTATTTGATGCATTCGTTATAAAATCAACAAATCATCAAGCAAGAAAGAATAATGTAAGACTGATCAGGGGAAAAAGAAGTACTCTTCTGAGCGAATCGAAGCGTTGAACTTGATTTTTACCTTCCACTTTGCTCGTCAGCCGTAATATCCTACTGCAACAGAATCAAAATTCAACAGAAAAAAAAGAACAGAAAATTAATGTCGGACTGCAATGAAGTCAGATTGCAAAATAAAAACCTAATAAAAATGTTTAACTAACTAAAACATCAGGCTCTTTTTGTTCTAGTGAGGAGGGGAGTAGCCCTACATTAATAAAAAAAGAAGTGTTATTTAAACTTTACTCTTTAGTTACAGTATTTAATTCTTCAGCATTGCTATCATTGATCGGACGAACTTACCAATCTTTCATTGTTTATGTTGAGAAATACAGCTAATGGTAAATAATCACTAATTTCTACCTTGGGTGATTTAATTTAAATTAATCTGAATGAAACAAATTAAATTTTATTTATTTATTTATTTAGTTCTTTGAAAAAAAATCATGATTGTTGTTCTATCCTGCTCAAAAGTAGCGCTAACGGTCCGGACTAGATCCCAATTTTGTTCTTATAATAACCGTCATCATATTCAAAACACTTCAATGGTTATCTGAAACTCAAAGAAAAAATGGGACTTGTTTTCATTGGTTTGCTCAATGTAGCCCAATGTATTCAGGGGTTTTGTCGTTTCCCATATTCCCATTGAAAAGTTCCGAGAATTGACAACAAAAAAACTTTTGAAAAAGCAAACCGTTAGTTCTCAACTGTGGCATGTGGTTTGAACCGCTAGCGCAAGATTTGTGCGGAGACTGCACATTCTACGATGCGTACTTTGCCCTTGCGGGGGAAAAACAACAACGAAAAATCTAGTATTTTTCGGGAACAGCTTGCAAATGGGCTAGGAGGTATTGTATATTGTGTGGAAGAAAACATCAAAGTGTAAGCGACTAGGGAAAGTAGTACTTGATGCTCTTCTGCTTGTCCGTTTTTCTTTGGCTCTTTAACCTTCACCGAGCATAGGCGGGAAGAACCCCGCTAGAGACACGAATGGAAGTAGTCAGAAAATACGTTAGCAAGACTATGCTGTATGTTAAAGACTTAGTAGTTAACCACGGTCCTTCGTCCAGCACCTTATTTTCTGAACCAATTCCATTCTAAAAAAAAACGGTGTCATCTTACATAGCTTCGTGCCATGTAATGCACCCCAAAGCTTTGGTTGGACGTACAGCGAAGCGACGTCGAACAGACGGCCACGACTTTTATGGGGGGTTTGAGAACGGTGAGATATGCTTCATTAAACAACTAAAGTGCGTATAAAAGGCTACAACAAAAAAAAAACAAAAAAACACAGAGGTTTTTTTTGGTAGGGCCAAGAAACCCCTCCTTACTTGTTTTGCAGTCAGTAACAGGTACATAAGCCATTTTTATAAGTTGTACCACTCGGCTATCAGGCCGCTCGTCAACGTTGGTCGTCGGTTCGACGTCAGCGCGTTGTACGTCGAGCTGAAATTTGGGGTATCTTATATGGGACAAGGGTTGTAAGAATGTACACTTTGTTTTGAGAGTGCACCCTGTCACAAGAGATCAAGGCACGCTGAGAAAAATCCTCGTTAACAAGAACTGGAATGAATGACCTCGTTATTTTAGAAAGAAAACAGAACTTCATGAGGTCTTACGTTGTTTGAACTGAAACCCGGGCGAAGCCAACACTACGAGCCGACAGGGCCAATTGAAAAGAGTCCAAATGTGTGACGTCACAGCATATGTCTTCTAACTCCCTGTTTGCCATTATCGGCTACACCATTTGAGCGCATTGAATATGCCATGATCTTGAGCTTTTAGTATGGGACCACGTTTGTAGGTATTCCAACATTTGGCTGCGTTTTTCTTGTAATAAAAAGAATGCCGGTCTCGGGTCAAACATGTTAGTAACACTGACTGTGTTTTTAAGCTGTATTTAATGCGAATAGCGATACGCTCGAGTGTAACTAAAAATGGCTACTTGCAGGCCAGGGTAAAATGAAGCATACATATATTATTACAGGCAATCCATAAGCTTACAAAGCATTAAGGAGGCATACTTAGTCACAATTTTCAATTCTTAACCATGTTTAAACCTTACCAATTGTAGTTAGCTAGACTGCCCAACAGCCGCAGCGGGAATCAAAACCCGGACCGCGCGATCCGCCACCCGAAGTCTTCACTCGGCGCCATGACCAGGAGGAGGGAATAACTCAAGCAGTAATACTGGAAAACGAGCGTGTTAGTGAAATTATACGAATACACGAAAGGACAAAACATCGAAGACGGGGACGGAAAGAGAACTTTTTTCATTTATCAAAAGCATAGAAGGGCACAAAATATAAAACCGCCCCCCAAAGGTTTCGACGCTCTCGAAGGATGAAAGAAAAATTGGTGAAGTAAAGAGACATTCTATATAAATTCAAAAAGCCTAAAAAGAACTAGCGTCATGATGAGGTATCACTAATCTAGTCATCTCCGGTGTTAGGAATTTGACTTCTGTCTTCGTCAGTGATAAAGTGCAGAAATTTTGTTGCTGACAGTCTCCATGGCAAATGATACAATTATTTTTCTCCCAAATCTATTTTGCCGCCCAGTATTCTAGTATAAGAGAAACAAGAGCTACAGTCATCGCACGTGTGGCTGTAAACGACGATTGGGTGAAAAGACTCATTTGAAGCCTCTGGTGCTTCTAAGTTGTGTTCTCTCAGTCGGTGGTTACCGCATCTCCCAGTTCGTCCGATGTACTGACAGGCGCATCATAGTGGAATAAAAAAAAAAAAACTTCTGTCGTCGCGTTTTACGAACTTTTAGCATGTTTAACATTAAACTACCTGGGAATTTCGTTCTCATTCACTTTTTTACTCGTCTGCTTAAAGTCGTATACGATAGGAAAAAAACACACACTTGTGTTGAACTTGGACGCCACAAATGTTAAAGGGTTAGCGGAATTGTGCATGTATGGAATCAGAGCAAAACGACCTTTCTTTTTGGCAACAGTTGGAAAATATTGTGTTCTGAGAATAACTCTCTGAATGGTTGAAGGAAGATGGTCCGCAGGAAATCCTGCTTTTATCAACCTTTGGAGCTGCAGCTTAAGGCTACTCTCGAAAAAATGCGTACACGACTTGGAGAATGACGACTTCAGACGCGACCTAACATTGCCATGCTTTACTGACTTAGAGTGAGCACTGGTGAAAAAGAGGAATGGTTTCTTTGATTTCTGCTGGAAGGCCAAACAGAGACCCGAGGAATGAGAATCTAACAGTAAATCAAGGAATTGCAATCCTTCCTTTGAAGGATTTTTTATGCGTAAAGGTTAGGCTCGCTGCGCAGCCTTTGAAATCTTCAAAGACGCTGTCAGCGGACACAACGTCTGAATAAATTACCGAGTAATCATCCACATACCTAAACACTAGAGAACACTTAAAGGTCTTGCTTAACCGATCTTTGACACCCCTGTTAACAAAAATAATAATGATTTGAGTAAGGAGAGGTGCAAGGTCAATATTGTTTTCTACTCTACTTTAGTAGAATTCGGAGGAACGTTTTACAGACAAAAGAAGGGAGTGTATATAGGCTCTTGCCTTGCACCTGTCCTTAGTGAAATCTTTCGCCTCTTTGTTGACAAGGCCATCGAAGATCGGTTGGACAAGGCTTTTCTTAAAGTTGCCTAGTGTTTAGGTATGTCGGCGATTACTCGGTCATTTATTCAGACGGCGTGCCCGCTCACATTAGTTTTGAAGTTTTCAAGGACTGTGCAGCGTGACTAACTTTTACGCCGGAAAATTCTCCAAAGTAAGAATTACAGTTCCTAGATCTACGGTTACAACCTCATCCCTTAGGTCTTTGCAGAGCCTTCCGGCAGATATCGGAGAAACCCCGCATTTTCATTAGTGCTCATTCCAAGTCAGTTAAGCATGGCATAGTGAGGTCGCTTTATAAGTCCCCATTCTTCAAGTTGTTTACGCATTTATCTAAAATTAGCCTTAAGTTGATACTTCAAGGATTGATAAAAGCAGGTTTTGCTGCGGACGTCCTTTGTTCCACCCTTGAGAGATTTATTCTCAGGCCACAACTTCCGCAAGGTGTTGCAAAAACGAAAGGTATTTTTGCTGTGATTTCCTACATGCAAAATTCCTCGAACCATTTCAGATCCAGCACTCGATGTTCAAGAAGAGTGTGGTGTTTTCTTGTCGTATTCAACTTCAGCAGATGTGTAAAAGAGTAAGTTATGGCGACAGTCCCGAAGGGTGCAAT